CTTTTGTGGTTTTTCAAGACAGACTTTCTGTGTAACAGTTCTGGCTGTCCTAGAACTAGCTCTGTAGACCAGGCTGACCTCACATTTAAAGAGTTGCCTGGATTAAAAGCATATGCTACCATTGCCTGGCTCCCTGCATTTAATAATCCTCCTCCTTTGTATTTTTTTTTCATGAAGGAATGGGGGTGGGAAGACTTGTCAGATCTGCTCAAATACAATTTTCAAAGATTCTAAAATCATTTGACCTTAAGTGATTTTCTAAGTTTTGAGCTATCCCCCAAACTGGACAGTGAGTGAGCACCCCAAATGCCCTCCAAACCATGAATCACTTCTGTGGAAATCCTAACTGGCTAGGCCAATTTTGTGATGTCGGCAGTGTATGCTCAAGCATTTGGTTCAATGTCTATAAAATCCTCACGGTGCATCATAGCTTGCATGCTTTCTGAGAGGGCAGAGCAGGGACTCGGGTTTATCTAGCCTCCTTGCTCACTCCCATGAATGATACAAGTAAAACATCTAAAGAAAACAAAAGGGAGGTACCATTAGGCAACTTGTTTTTCATGCTACTCATGTGCCAGCCTTCTGTTGCTTCACCCCAATCTTGTCCAGAAGCTGCCTCTTCTAATGGCTGACTGAATTCTACTAAAAATAGATACAATGAAATCAGCAGGAGGGAATAAAGAGGACCCACACAGCAACAGCCACTCCTCTGGGCCGATAAAGATTCTTTCCTTTGGTTCCCTAACCTTCTAGACATGCATCAGCAGGTCAATCTCTAAGTAGTTTTATTAGTGTGAGTATCATGCGCATTAGAGCTTAACATATGAATAATGATATACAGCATTCACATATTTTTAAGAGTCTATGTTGGAAACCCTAAAATAAACTAGTAGGCCATAGTTACCATGAGGCATATCTATATTCTATCCAAATGCCCACTTCCTGAAGTTGGGCTCCTTTCAGAGAGAGTGAGTAAGCGATAACATCAGAGGGTGGCCTTGGAGCTGGGAAGAGCATCGTCTTAAGAGTAAAATCACTACAGAGCCTTTCTGAGCAATGCCTTTTACTATGCTAGAAAAACCAAAAGCTAAGTCTCCCATCTTGATTGCTACAGGTTATTACGGTTCAACAAACCTGACATACGTAGGATGCTTTCTGGTTATTATTTTCTGTTGGGATAGTAGAGACAGACTAGAAGGAGCTGATGTCAAAGCCATGGAGGAGTGCTGCTTACTGGCTTGTTCAGTCTGCATTCTTATAGAACCCAGGACCACTAGCCCAAGGTGGTACCTCCCACAATAGGCTGCACTCCACATCAATCATTAATTAAGAAAATGCTCTACAGGCTTGCCTACAGCCCAAACTTATGGAGACAGTTTCTCCATTGAGACTCCCTCCTCTCAGATGACTGATAGCTTGTGTCAAGTTGAGGTAAAACTAACCAACACAATGGGTTGCCTACAAGACAGATTGTTGCTTTTTGCAAAATATGTAACATCCATTCTGGTTTTGAAGTTCACATTTTGTCGTATACATCAAAACAAACCAACACACCTTATACGGTCATTCTTTATATTCAGAGAAGTCAAGGAAAGAAAAAGTGTGATGTCTCTCAAAGGGTTGCAAGAGGAAGTTCCATTGTGTCATCCTTAAGGAGACCACTAGAGATGAAGACCCCAAACATATGCCCCGTGATATGTCTTCAAAATGGGGGAGGGTGGCAGAAATACTCTTGTAAACAGGACGAAGTGGAGACGGGATTTTGTTTATGTAAAAGTACAGTAGTCTTCGACGGGCGTTGGTGGCACACGCCTTTAATCCCAGCACTCGAGAGGCAGAGGCTCTGTGAGTTTGAGACCAGCCTGGTCTACAAGAGCTAGTTCCAGGACTGCCTCCAAAGCCACAGAGAAACCCTGTCTTGAAAAACCAAAAAAAAAAAAAAAAGTACAGTAGTCTTCAAAAGCTAATTAGCAATTGTTCTCCCTCCCATTAAAGTGGTTCCAGAGACCCCCTGCTTGAGACCACTAGGCTTCTAACATAATTGATGGAGAGGTAAAAAGTCATAGTTTTTTTTTTTTAAAATACCTATTCGATAAATCTTTACTGGCCTTCCAATACAATCTACCATTCTAGTGTAAGGAGCTACATAATTAGACAACTTGTTTTGGTCTCAAAGAGAGCTATCTGAATCATTGACTGTGCATGCAAAGAGTACATTTTCAGTAGGGAGACAAAGTGCTCATTATTGATAGGTGTGGCTTTGAGTCTTCCGAAGGTATTAATCTAAGTCAACAGTTCACTTGTGCATACCTGCTTCTCCCATTCCTTAAACAATTTCAGAATTAGCAACTTCCCACAGAAGGGCTCACTCAGAGCACAGGAAATGCATTTCTGGAGTCTCCCTAAGGTCTTTCCTTGTGGACCACTCAGAAAGCTGGGTGATCAGAAATACTCTATCCATTCATGCTCTGACTACAGGAGAAACCTCCCATGACCTTTTATTGGTACTTTTGCTGCCTCTATCTCTAAGATGGCATTTTTGCCAAGTATGTGAACGCAATAGTAGGAAGTAGGACTAACTCCCCCAGGAAACACTTGCTGCCGATTTCAGTGTTGGATGTTTGATCTCTATGCTCTGCCTATTTCCTTTTCGCTCTCCATTGAGTCAACCAAAACTACACAGAAATGGAACTAGGTGAACTTGGAAGACCTTTGGCAGTTCCCACTCTAATAAACTATAGAGAGAGCAGTTAGTAATGAAAGAATCAATAGTGTCAGATGAACTTTCTACCCTGTTGACCTATGGTAGTGTGGCTGGTTGGACACCATACCAGTTACACTCATGTATGATCTATAAAAACCTCAGCCCCGGTCCCCCATCTCCGAAAATGAGATTTTCTCTACCCTGAACTTTTTTCATAATCATTTTTTAAAACGTGTATTGCCCTTAGTACATGATTTTCTTAAGTTATCTTTTCCCGTCTGAGAAACTGTCTTTACTCAAACTAGATGGAATTCGCTTCATAAAAATCTCTCCAGCTATGGTGTGACTGATGGAGTGTTGTGCTTGAGTGAGTTCGTCTGTTCTTACCACTAATCACTGACTAATATTTGTTTCAAACAATAAAGCCTCTTGGCTCTCCTGTGGTGAACTGCATTTGAAAATTATCTATTTGCTTGGAATTTGTTGCCAACTACCATGCATGCCTGAATACATGCTCGAGGTGTAAGATGGAAGGTTATCAACCATTCACTAACCAGCTATGAAGTCAATCTTGTCTTTCCCTAGAGAGGGAAGAACGGTTTGTGACTTCTCTGCAACTCCAGGGCCTGTGTGGTATGCTGTGTGGTGTGCTTTGGACCTGGATCAACACCCCCGCACACTCTTCTCTCTCATGTCGCTAATCTCTATGCCACATCCTTTAGGGCGAGGAAGCCAAAACCATCCCTGGTGAATCAGTCACAGAAGAGCAGTTTACTGATGAAGAAGGCAACCTCATCACCAGAAAAGTAATCGCCATTGAGATTTCATACCTTCTGGAGTTTAAATGCCCTGCATGAGAAACACCATTGTATGCAATAGGTTATAGCTCCCCCTTGTGACACAGAATAGTCCCTACTTCTCTCTGTTGCTTCCAACAGATCACTCGGAAAGTAATAAGACGGATTGGTCCACAAGAGAGAAAGCAGGATGAAGTGGTAATGTAGCGTGACTGCCAAGGAGAAAGTAGAGCGTAGCATCTCTGTGAGCCCCCTGGGAAGCCTTGCTAACAGAGTGGCTGCTGAAGTGTGTGGAAGGCTTGGAGTGTCGTGTGGGCTTCTTCTGACGTAGGCTTTGTACGGGGTCCAACCACTTTTCTTCATGCCACATCTGAATGTTATATACTTGTCAGAATGATCACACAGAGGTAATTTCATTTATCAGGGACAAAAATGTTCCAGTCAGAAGGAGAAAGAGAAGGAAGAATCCTTGGTCATCAACAGCCCCCTTGAGAGAGTCCACATTTGGCCTTCAGTTAGGTGCCTGTCTAGGACACTGAAGGAGGACTATTAGGGTAGCAGAGTGTTTGCCTCACAATTTTCACATCAGGTCTATGTGGTTGTCCTGCCCATCACATTCTGTAGAAAAATCTAAACTCCACCATCACATCACGCTTTGTGTTGCCCCATGTCCAACTTGCTGATGTAGAACCTAACTTGTAACCGTGAGTGTGGCTCGGCAAATAAGCCCTTTCCTGACAAAGAAGACCTCTTGCTATTATGTTTTGCTGTTTCCCAAATCTTTGTCACATTTAAAGGTAGAAAGATATGTATTAAATATTATGTTTACATAAGAAAATGCAAACTGAAGAGTACTGAGGACAGGTGAGAAAGGAAGAAAGACCCCCCCATTCCTCGTGTTAAAGGAAACACTAGATGTGAAGTACCTTGCTCACAGAGAAGTGTGCACATGGTAGGTGAGAAAGACAGCCCCAATCTGTAGAAATTGCTGCTGTCTGGGACCAAGATGGAGAAGACAGTGTTAGTAATTGCATAAACTAAATAAAGAGAAGCAGTTAGACCATCCATGGCATCTAGAATTCTTGCTTGGTGTTTATTTTGAGAAGTCCCTGTCATACTGCAACAAACTAGTTATGGTTTCGCTGGCTGACAATAATCATAGGTGATGATTTTAACAGTTGGGGTCCGGGTGCCTTGTGAGTGTCAATGACATTTTCTTCCACCATATGTAGGAAAGGAGCTGTCTGCCTTTTGAAATCATTAACCCCCTGTGCTGTGAAGTCTCATTACGCCGTAGTTACCTTGAAAGTGCTGTCGCATGCTGTGGCTGTGGTGAGCTGGTCTGTGCGGTTAAGCCAAGCAGATCATCTGTGTCTGAGGACGTCAAGTGGCCTAGGGGCTCTCACTACTACTCCTTCCTCATGCAGCCTCCAGGGACCAGCGTGGGAACTGCTTCCCAACTCTTCCACTGCAGAAATGTAATGTGTGCTCTCCTTTAGCAGGGAGAAGGCTATAAAGTGAAGATGAAAAAAGAAATTCGGAACGTGGAGAAAAAGACCCACTAGTGACAGTGACGTCCGTCCAGGTGGGAAATGTACTTATATCAGCAGTGACACTTAAAAATCTCAAGAACTTTCTAGATTCCCTAAGATGTTTTACATTTTTCCTTTCTCTTTTATCGCTGTGACAAACTTTGAACTCGTCCCTGCTCATTTTCTGTATATGGGTACAGATGTCTATATTTTTATATGTATATATGTGTGCATCTGTTAATTGTAAATGCACATACACACATATGCACTTTAAACTTTAACTCCAGTTGGGGGCTATAAAAATTCTCCATGTGTATAGCATCTACAGAAGCAGGTGTAGCCGGGCATTGGTGGTGCATGCCTTTAATCCCAGCACTTGGGAGGCAGAGGCAGGCAGATCTCTGTGAGTTCGAGACCAGCCTGGTCTATAAGGGCTAGTTCCAGGACAGCCTGCAAAGCCACAGAGAAACCCTGTCTTGAAAAAAAAAAAAAAAAAAAAAAAAAAAAAAAAAAAAAAAAACAGAAGCAGGTGTAAATAGGATTCAAGTCTCCTATTCTCTTAGCATGAGGCTCTCCATGGCAGGCAGCAGTAATTTCCAGTGGGAAGACTGCCAATGAACTGCACTCAAAGCCAGCAGTTTTGGTTGGCTGTCACCAAAATACAGCTGTCACCAAGCCTAAGTTAATAGAATCGGATACGTGCATTTTTATTTTACATAAACCTACACATGATTACGAGGTTGACCAGATGGACTTTTTTGATGTTAAATATTTAGTAAGCAGGGTCTGTTTACATTTGTTTGGACTTTGCCCTTGTTTTTCCTAACATTATTTTTCTGGATTTCACATTGCTTTTTGACACAGATTCAATCGGAAAGCTAATTTGGGGTGAGAAAACAGATTTGAAAAGTTATGTCCTTGGGGCCTTGCCTCTCAATCCTTCCAGCCCCTGGGTCAAATTGACAAAGAGTGGGAATTCTAGTCTCATTTTATCTGTCCTCCTCTGCCAACCCTGACATTTGAGGACAGAAATAAGGAGTTGGGAAACAACTTTGTTTTAGATCCCTAAGGCTCAGATAGAATGGTATTTTATTTGGGGGATGGGGTCTCTTGGAGCCCAGGCTGGACTTGTACTTCCTGTGTACCTGAGGATGACCCTGAAGGCTAGATCCTCCTGCTTCCCCCTCCCAATTGCTAGGATTCCAGACCAGCAGCATGCCACGTGCAGTTTATGCAGTATTAGGGATCAAACCCAGAGCTTTATGCATGTTTGGGAAACGCCCCACATCTGAGATACATCTCCACCCTTCCAAGTGGATCCTCAGTTCTGCCCGACAAACACCCTTTCAGTATATGCTGTGCAGTATCTTTTCACTTCCGTGAGGCCTTCAGTGAAATCGTCAATCCCATGATGCCTGCTGCACTAGACTCCCGGTGTGGACTTTGGGTGGGATCCAGTCCTCATGTTGTGACCATTGATGATATTGAAAAAGAAGAACCACCACCACAGATGTTCTGGAAACAGAATTCTCTGTGTGTTTCTTTGGGGCTTCTTTAGTTCCCACAGCCTCTCCTCTTGGATTGGTACCATTAGCATCCCAGGTTAACATAAGGAACAGGCCCTAAGAGGTTAAGAAAATTGCCCAGCATCAACTAAAAGTGGCAGAACTAGGAAATAAACCCTAACAGGCTACCTCCAGAATGCTCATCCTTGGGGCTCGATATAGACCTGACCTGGCAGTGATGGGACGGTCCCCCAAAGACAGAAGTAAGCTGAGCTTAAATGAGCTCCAGTTACTCATCTGTGGGATTCTGCTTTTTACCCTAAAACCAAAAGGAAATGATTAGACTTGAGAGGCAACAGCTCTACCACTGAGCTGACTGGCACAGCCCAGGACCTTTGGAGAGCTCTTGCTTTGTAGTCCAGGCTAACCCAACCTTGCAGTAGCCTAACTTCTAAGTACTAGGGTCACTGGCTCAGTGGTAGAGTACTTACCCAGCATGCATAGGCTGTGTCTGGATTCAATCCCCAGCAGCACACACACATCCTCATATAGCCTTCTCCCGAAAGCTGGGAGATGCATGCAGGTATCCCTGGCTCCTTAGCAGCTGCAGCAAGACTATTTTACAAGGTTTAGGGGACTCAGTGGCCATCAGTGATTTCCAAAGGCAGTCATTCTGGGCTGGGAGATCTCAGTGTAGTTGTTGGTGACACGGGGTGGCAGTAAATAGGGGTGCCAAATAGCTTACTGTTTACATGGATTTAGTCAAGTTACTTAAAGTGTGCTGTCATGGCCTCAGTGGAACCGGGAAGGGGCTTAGAATGAAGCCTGGATGAACAACAATAACCCTCTGTAGGACAATAGTAACTCATCTCGGAGTTGTTTTTAAGAATTCAGTCTGTTCATACGAGTGAACTGCTTAGTAGCAGTGGCTGCTGAGACCCTAGAACCCTCAATTAGGAGGCACTATTATAACAGTATTAGGGAAAGCAAGAAGGCAATCAAACTAGCAGCCTGCTAAGTCAGGCAGAGCGATGGCAGTCAGGAGATGTCACAGCAGCTGAGCCACCCGGCCCCTCCTCAGGGGAAGGTGATTTACTACATTCACTATCTGTGGTTCTCATAGTCAACCGAGACAGTCAGTAAAGCCTCAGGTATCTGTTCCTTTGTACCAAGGACTGAAGCAGAAAGAGACCCAAGATGAAGCCAGAGGAGGTGGTGACCACCCTCCTCGCCCCTACTCAGACTGAAGTAGTTCATCCCACTCAGGCCCCGGTCTCTGGGACATTTTCCCAGAATGCATCCAAGGCCAAGGCACAGATGGTTTCTGTCTGTTTTCCTGATACATGGTGGAGACAGAACTGAAGCCAGGTAGTGTGTGGCTCTTGGCCCTTGCTAAAACTCTTGCCTTTTTAATTACCTGGGCAGTAGGGGACATAATACTGCCCTGTTATTAGGATTGATGTAATTCACTTCAGAACTGTGCCAGGTATGCAATAAACACTTCATAAAAATGAAAGAAATGCATTTTCTTTCTCTTTAAAAATATGCATTAGTCTGTCCCGGTATGTTTACTTTTTCCGGCTGGTTCTGCCTGTCGTATGTTTTTAACTCAAGTCACTGGGAAAGAAGAAATTCAAAAAGGCCTCATTTATTGCTATTAGCTCAAGAGGAAATCTGTTCTGAGTTGGGTTTTATTTTAAACTAAGGTTTCAAGCCAAGTGTGCTAGTGCATGTCTATAATTCTAGCACTTGGAGGATAGAGGCAGGAAGAGGGAGAGGTCAAGGCCAGACCTGGCTACATGAGACTCAGTCTCCAAAAAGAAAACAAACAAAACACCTAAAAGTGAAACCAAGACTAAAAGGAAAGCAAACCTTAATTTTAGATTATGGTTTCCTATTGTAATGAAAATTATTGCTTTTTAAAAGAAGAAACATGGGCCAGTAAGATGGCTCCACAGGAAAAGGTGCTTGCCACCAAGCCTGATGGTTTGAATGAGAATGGCCCCCATAGGCTCATATTTGGATGCTTGGTTCCCAGTTGATAGAACTGTTTGGGAAGTATTAGGAGGTGTGGCCTTGTTGGAGGAAGTGTGTTGCTGGGGTAGGCTTTGAGATTTCAAAAACCCTACACC